GTGGCGTAGGGGGAACTCAGAGGGGCTGGGGGACAGCAGGGGCTGGGGATCCCTAGGCTGGGAAGTGCCAGAGGGAAACCCCTGGACCTAGAGGCAGCAGGCAGAGATGTGCTCTCCCCATTCCCTGAATATTCCTGACACCTGGTGGAGAGGCAGGAGCCTGGGAAAGGAGATCTGCTGCCTGCATTGCCTGTGGTGTTTGGGGGGCTCAGGGCTGCAATGTGCTTTGCTTTCACTGGGCTAACTTCAGTGGGCAGTGGGACACCCCTGGCAGCACCCACACCTCCCCTCCCTGGTTTGATCAGCAGGATCAAACAAACTGCAGTCTGCAGGCACAGACACCAGGGAGTCCCTTCCATCCTGGTACCATCCAGCTGCTGTTCTCCAGCCTGAAGTGATGGCAGGTTGAATGCCTCTTTCTGTGGGTGGAGGGAGAGGGGCTTGCTGTGGAAGGAGTGCTCAGGGTGGTCAGTCCTGCATCCAGCACCTTCTTGCTCTTGGCTCAAGTGCAGCTCATGCTCACACCGTGCTTCGGAGTGCCCCTGTGCCTGGCACACCTTCAGATGAGCATCCAGGTGGGTCCCAGCCCCCTCCCCGACATCCAGCCTTGGCCTCACCGTGGTATTTTCTTGCCTGCAGTTATGTTCTGGAGGTCACAGACTGGCATCGTGTACAAGGAGCCTGCGGAGAGCTGCAAGGACAGTGCCGTGCGCTGCGACGGCATCGTCGACTGCTCCCAGAGGAGCGACGAGCTGGGCTGTGGTGAGGCACTGGGAGCTGGGGTGGTGGGAGAGAGGGGACCCCCGGGCACTGGGTACCCCTGACCCACCTGCTCCATCCTGCAGTGCGCTTTGCATCCGATGAGTCCTTGCTCCATGTCTACTCCAGCACCGAGCACCAGTGGCTGCCAGTGTGCAGCAGCTCCTGGGATGAATCCTTCTCCAGAAAGACCTGCCGGCAGCTGGGATTTCAGAAGTAATTCCTGCAGGATGGGTGGTTCTGCTTGGGTGCTGGGGCCCTGCCAGCCCCTTGGGAGCTGCTCTGGTCCCTGCCCTGGTTGGGTGGGAAAACAACCCCAGTGTTGTTTTTCTGCTGGAAGGCAGTGTGTCCAGAGCTGCTCTGGGCATAAGGCAGGGACCAGGTGGGCAGTGCCTGGCCTGGGGGACCCTCACTGCCTCTCCTCTCCCCTCCCAGTGCATCACAGACCGAATACATCCCCCTACACATCTCTGGGAAGAGCCTCACGGTGACTGATGAACGAGAAACCATCCAGCAGAGCCTCAACAGGTACCAGGCAGCATCAGCTCCTGCCCTGCCTCTGCCCTGGTGCTGCAGGAACAGGGCTGAGCCTGGGTCTCCCTCCTCTCTCCTGCAGCTCCCAGTGTCTCACGGGAAAGTACGTCTCCCTCAGATGCACAAGTAAGGGGCTGGCACGTGGGCAAGGAGCCTTTTTGCAGGCCTGGGAGGGCTTTCCTCCTTTCTCTCACAGGGTTGGGCAAATGGGGTATTTTCCAGCAGCTTTCTGGGTAATGGAAAGCTGCAAAGATTGCATTCCTTGGTCCTCACTGCCTGTATGAGTGTGGTGCCCATGGGTGGTGTGGGTGCTGTGTGTGTCCCCTCCACGCTCACCTTCCCTCCGAGCCCCTTCTCAGCCCTGCTCTCCCCTCCAGCCTGTGGGCAGAGGATTTCTGGTCGGATCATCGGAGGAAAGGAAACCTCTGTGAACAAATGGCCCTGGCAGGTCAGTGTGCAGTATGGGCCCATCCACATCTGCGGTGGCACCATCATCGACGCGCAGTGGGTCCTCACCGCAGCCCACTGCTTCTTCATGTGAGTGCTCTGCCAGCCTGGGCCCCACACCGGCTCTCAGCCCACCCTGTGCTCACTGTGCCACCCCATCTCACCCTGCCAGGAACAGCATGAAGATCCTGGATGACTGGAAGGTGTATGGTGGGGTGTCCGACCTGAAGCAGCCCATGGAGGGCATCCCTGTCTCCCAGGTCATCATCAACTCCAACTACAGCGACGACCACGACGACTACGACATCGCTCTCATGAAGCTCTCCAGGCCACTGACGCTCTCGGGTGAGGCCTCACAGCTTACCTGGCTTGGCTGGGGGTGGTGTTTGGGGGGACAGGGAGAGTCTGGGGATGGGCAGGAACAAGAGGGAGTCTGGCTCCCCTCGGAGCCATACCCTGGGCTGCGTTGCCAGCTGTAGCATCCCGCTCAGCTGTGCCCACCCTGCTATCCCCAGCCCGTCCCGTGGCTGAGAAGGGTCCAGCACACACAGCCACGGGCTGGGATGTGCCTCTGGCATCGTGCCATGCGCTGTGCTCCGTGTGGGTCCGGCGAGACCCTGCTGGGGTGGGCACGGAGAGGAGCCTTTCCCGCACCCCACGCTCCTCCCTGGCAGCAGGGCTGGTGACTACAGCAGCTATTTTGCTCCCGGGTGACTCATCCCTCCCTCCTGGCCTGGCTTTCATCATGTCTCCCTCCAGCCCAGGTTCGCCCAGCCTGTCTCCCCATGTACGGCCAGCGATTCCAGACCGGCAGGTTCTGCTTCATCACCGGCTTCGGGAAGACCAGGGAGAATGAAGGTGAGGGAGGATGTCAGCTCTCCACGGGCAGCCCCTGCCCACGGGCACAGCTCTGCTGTGGTGCTCGGGGGCTGCTCCCACAGGGGTGACTGTCAGGGTTGCCCTCCCAGCCGTGAGCTGTGCAGAAATAAGACCTGTGAGCAACAGCAGTTTCCTCCCTCCCTGCTGCAGAGGGGCCCTGGGGGTGAGGAGGGATGAGGCCCATTTTGCCCCACAGCTCTTCCTGCCTTGCAGACAACACCTCCCCAAAGCTTCGAGAGGCTGAGGTGAAGCTGATCGACTACAAGATCTGCAACAGCGACAAAGTGTACGAGGGCTACCTGACCCCGCGGATGATGTGTGCTGGGTACCTGCAGGGAGGGAAAGATGCTTGCCAGGTGAGCTGGGGACACATGGCACACACTGCCTGCTTTGGGGCACCAGCAGAGGGGCATCTCCTGTCTCCTCTCCTCACTGCTCTGCTCCTCTGAGCCAGGGTGACAGCGGAGGGCCCCTGGTCTGCGAGGACAACGGCCGCTGGTATGTGGCTGGGGTGACGAGCTGGGGGACAGGATGTGGCCAGAAGAACAAGCCTGGAGTTTACACACGTGTGACAAAGCTCCTCAGCTGGATACACAGCAAAATGGAGGTGAGATGTCAGTGCTGAGCTCTCCTGGGTGAATGGAATGGGCTGTGTCCCCCCTGGCCCAGCCCCTGGCACCTCACCCTTGCTCTCCCTTCTCTCTCTTGCAGAGTGAGAACGACTAAGACTGGAAAGGATTCTTGCCTGGGCTGTTCCTCTCCAGCCAGCCCAGGCCCCTGCCCTGGGCTGCTGCCAGGACACGATGCTACCAGCCACTCCCCCACCTCCCTCTGGACTGTCTGTGCAGCCAGGGACCTGTGGCTGCCCCTGAACTCTGAAAATGTGGCACTGTGAAGTGACTGCCCTCGCCTGGTGCCAGGGGGTGACCTGGTGGTGGCTGGGCACAGCACCCAGCCAGCCCCGGCGGGACACAGCCCATGCCAGCAGCTGGCCATGCTGGCTGGGGGCACCTGCTGGCCCTGTGACTGTGGTTTTCCTGTAAATAGACCTGTCTGGATGGGGTGTTGTGGTGCTTCCTGCAGGACTGCGGCACACTCGGCGCACGAGGGGCTGTGAGCAGTGCCTGCCCATGGAATTGGGGTGCCAGGGCGAGGGAATTACTCTCCTTTTGCCAGGTCACAGCTGTGCTGCCTTGGTGGGCAAGGTGGGACAGCTCTGCCCATGCTGCCCACGACTCTGAGACCAGACTGGTGGCTTTCTCGCAAAGGGGAGCCCCAAGGTGCAGTTCTTCCACCCTCTGAGAGGGGCAGCAGCTGCTCTCGTTTGCAGATAGATTTAGGAAGTGCCTTTTACATGATGTTCCTGCCTGTGAGAGAAAAACCTGTTTGTTTGTTTTTCCATGCCCTGGATCCGGTCTGAGCCAGGACTGCAGCTGGGCTCAGCCCCCCTGCCTGCTCCGGGGGGGTTTGGCAGCAGCATGGGGCAGCTCTGCTGTGGGAGGTGGGACAGAAACCAGCAGCAGCCACAGGCCAAGCTGGAGCGGGATGCAGAGCAGCCACCCTCCTGGGCAGTGCCCAGCCCTGGGTGTCCTGCTGTGTGCTCAGTGACCCTGCAGGAGTGCTGCCTCCTCCCTCTGGGATTGCACATCCAGCCTTACCTCCCTCCCCACGCCGGGGTGAGGACACATCCCCCCTAAGGAAACGAGTGCCCACACCTCCCTGTGGATGCTGCAGGCACACAGGGTGCCGTGGGAGATCTCCACGGTGAGGCTGGCCCCCCACCTCTCCCCACATGTGGGGTCAGCTGCAGAGGAGTTCTGGGCAGCCTGGCCACCCTGCACCCTTCTAATAAATGTTTTGGTAGTGCTCCATGTGGAGATGGGTCCTTTGGAGAGGCTGGAAAGGCAGCAGCCAGTTCCAGTGCTCGGGTCCCTGGGGAACGGGCAGAGCTCTGCCCTCCCTGGGCATGGTCCTGGCTGGAGACCTGCTGTGATGCTCCAGGGCTGCCCCATATCCTCACGACTCTTTGGCCCTGGCAGCAAGGCCACACACGTGGCAGTGGGTCCGTGGGACTGGTGTGCAGTGAGCAGTGGGGTGTTGCAGAATGTGCAGCCCACAGGAGATCTGCAGGGGGCTAAGTACCCCACTGTCCCCTCACTCTGGAGCTGCTGCCTGGCTGTTGCCATCTGTGTAGGTGCATGTGATGGAATGGTCATTCCTGCCCTTCATCCTCTGGGTTACTGCTCAGGGCTGGGAGAAAGGAGGTGTCTTTGGTCCCTCACCTCCTGGCAGCATCCCCTGGGTTCCCAGCACTGGAAAAGGTTATGGGCAGGTAGAAATGTGTGGTTTGTGTCTGAGTCTTGGGATAGCAGGTCCAGTCTGGCTCTAAGTGTGCAGAAAGCCCCTAACCCTCCCTGAGACTCTGGTGACCTGCTGATGGGAAAGGGTGGGTGAATTCCTTGCTGTGCTGTGCTGAGTGGATTTGGAGTGGTGCTGAGTGGATGCTCCAGACTTGCACTGAAACAAAGGGAGTCGCTGCCTTTGGGGAAGCACTGAGTCAGCCTGACCTCAAATCCCTTTTCAGAGCAGCAACCCAGAAACCTCCCACAGATTTGGGAGCTGCCCATGAAGGAAGTGGGTGGGCAGTTCCCAGGGGACTGTTTTCACTATCTAACTTGTGAAAAGGGCCTGGGCAAACCTGCTGAATTCCAGGGAGGCATGGGGAGCTGTTGCTCCCCAGCACACAGGGGCACTGCATCTTTGCTGGGCGTGTTACAGTGACCTCCCTGCACATGCAGTGGTGATGGCAACACATTTTTCCATGAACTGAAGCAGCTGATCATGAGTAAGGGTAAGGACCCAGTTTGCCTTCCCCATTTTATGTTGGTCTGGTGAAAGTGGGAATTCAGTGGGTCTCAAGTCAGACCCAGTTTACCTCTGCCCAGATCTGGGATCTCAGGGCTTCTGTTGATCGGAGTTGTAGTGTGCCCCATGGAGCAGCAGCTCATAGTGATTTCTTGCTGGAGAAATTGAGCTTTTGTGAAGGAATAAACCGAAAATTGGGACCCAATAAGAGCTGATCATGCTGGAGATATGTTCCTGGGAATAGAAATGGTAACTCCATTTCAGCACATGGGGGACCTGCTCCTCCGCTGTGGATTTCACCTCCTCAGGGGTTATTGCTCTTCTGAAATAGTCTCTCACAGCAGAGAAATGCTCTCAGCCCGAGACAAATTTAATTTATTTCTTCTAACCCTGACATGCAGTGGTCTCTCCTCCCAGGCCCAGGGGAAGATATGCTGCCTTTTCCCAAGGGCTGAAGTTTTCTAAGCAGATTAGAAGCGATTAGTTCCCGTGCAGTCGCCTGGCCACGGCTGTTGTGCTGTTCCCAAAGACAGAGCTGTGGAGATGAAGCAGATGCCTTGGACACTGCTTTGCCTGCACCCCTGGAGTGCTGTCCATCCCCTGGGGGAGCACAGCTGTGGTGAGTGCCAGCCCAGCCCCAAGGAGCCTCCTGAGACAGCCCAGGCCACCACCTGTGGCTCTTGTAAGGCCCTTTGCTTGCTCAATGTGTTGTGCTCCAGAGCATCTTCTCAGACAAGGGGTGCTCAGCATGGTCCCACATCTGTCTGGGCTGTTCCCATGTTCCTGTGTGCTTTGGAATGCATAGGTCAGTGTTCCCAAGGGATATAAGTTACAAAAATACAGCCTGGCAGGCACCACGTGAGTTACTGCCCATTAGTGGTGGTTTTCCCGAGCTCTCCTTTTATAGCTCTTTGTTCTGCTGTGTCAAAACAGATTTGTTTATAGGGTTTCAGCGATGATGTTTCTCTACAAAAATGTTTTCCCTCTAGTTTGGGATTGGTTCCTTTCCGTGCTCAGTAACATCATCACTTGGCAGAGTCACTGCACTTCAGCCTGTGCAACACCCTCCTGGCTGTGCTCGACGGGGGAACGCAGGAGTTCAGCACAGCCACTGCCTCATCCTCACTCCTGCAGGGATTCAGGGCATGATTTGGGCCTGATGGAAAATGATGTTACTGGGGTCAGCACAGCCACTGCTTCATCCTCACTCCTGCAGGGATTCAGGGCACAAGGAATGATTTGGGTCTGGTGGAAAATGATGTTACTGGGGTCAGCACAGCCATGTGGCTACACACAGCTCTTGCCACCGCTTGGCTCTCCCGTGCCCCTGCCAAGGCTGAGAGCTGTATTGCCACCAAACAGGCAGTTTGCAAGCTTGGAATTACAGGGAGAGACCTTAAAACTGGAGAGGAAAGCTCTGGAGAGCAAGAGGCTCTGTCCCTGCTCCCAGCCCCAAGCACACAGGGAGGAAACGGCTGCTCCAGGGTCAGGGACACACGCTGAGATGAAATCATGCCCTGTTGAAGCCGCTGGCAATGCTCCTGTTAAGTCAGATAGCTGAGGAGATCAGCCCAGCCCCTTCGTTAGCATAAATCAGCATCTCCCAACTGGCCTCTGCATTACTTTTGGCCCAGTTTCCCCAGAAGAGAAGCTGGAGCTCAGTTCAGCCTCCCCAGCAGCACAGCTCTGGGGAGCAGATATTCACCACTAGTGACTGCTGGAGCTGCTTTCCCCCATGGGAGCAGCACAGTGGAGCCTTCCCTTCCCACATTCACATTGGGGTCTCTATTTTACCTGAGTTTGTACAGGAAAAACATCTATACTGCCAATTTTTTCGACCCTAATCGCTTTGGGCAGCACCTTGGCGATCTGTAAATCAAGAACCAAGGGAAGGAGAGCACAGAGCACATCCAGCCCTGTGTCCTGGCTGCTGCTGGAGGGGCTCTGCAGAGATCCACTGCTGTCCCCAGGGCATGGTCACACCTGAATGTTTTACTGTGTGCTGTGCACAATGACAGCTGAGAAGCAGATAAGGTTGAAGCAGCCCAAAAGTTGCTTAATCTGTAAATCAAGAACCAAGGGAAGGAGAGCACAGAGCACATCCAGCCCTGTGTCCTGGCTGCTGCTGGAGGGGCTCTGCAGAGATCCACTGCTGTCCCCAGGGCATGGTCACACCTGAATGTTTTACTGTGTGCTGTGCACAATGACAGCTGAGAAGCAGATAAGGTTGAAGCAGCCCAAAAGTTGCTTATATTGATCCACAATGACAGCTGAGAAGCAGATAAGGTCGAAGCAGCCCAAAAGTTGATTGTAAGAGCTTGATCCCTGACTGAGAGTAACTGACAGCCTTATCATGTTATCCCTATGCATTAAGGAGACTTGATGCTGTCCAGCTCCTCCATGTTGGTCTGTGTATCTTGACCCTTTGAATAATTGCCTCGAAATGCCAGTGCTGGTTTATCCTCTTTTTATGTTTTACTGGAACCTGGGAAATGGCTGTGCGGGAAGCTGTGCCATCACTGCCTGATCTCTATCTCAGATGCGTCTGAGTTATTAGGGGATGAGCCAGCTCAGTGGAAACAGCATAGCTGAGGTGTTTTTCCAAGAAGAAATGGCTCTCCAGGGCAGCAGCAGGAGCTGGGCAGATATGGGTGTGCCAGTCTGGCCTGTAAGGGAGCAGTGCCCATGGCTCTCAGCCTGGCAGTGCCCCCAGAGCCCTGTTCCCATCTGACATCCTGTATTAAACACAGATCTCCCTGCCCATCTCACTCCTCCTGACATGCCTGGCTGTCCGATGGGAATAACCTGGTTGTTTGCCACAGAGCTCTGACAGGGTGTTCGCAGCAGTGGTTTGACCAGCC